GACACAGCACTCCAGATATGGCCTCACTGGTGCTAAATAGAGGGGAATAACCACTTCCCTTGATCTGCTGAGAACACTCTTAACAGTGCAGCCCAGTATGGCATTGGCCTTCTTGGCAACAAGGGCACACTGTTGGCTCACATTCAGCTTATTGTCCACTGTAACCCTCAGGTCCTTTTTGGCAGAGCTGCTGCCCAGCCTGTCATCCCCCAGCCTGTACTGGTGTATGGGATTGTTCCATCCTAAGTGCAGGACTTTGTACTTGCCCTTATAGAACATCATGAGATTTCTTTTGATCCAGTCCTCCACTTTGTCTGCGTCTCTCTGAATCCAAACCCTACCCTGCAGCGTATCTGCTACTCTTGCAAGCTTGGTGTTATCTGCAAACTTGCTGAGGGTTCACTCTATGCCATCTTCCAGGCCATTGATGAAGATATTGAACAAAACCAGCCCCAGGACCGACTCCTGTTGTACTCGACTTGATACTGGCTGCCAATTTAGACAGCAAGCCATTGATTGACCTGACCCTCTGAGCCCCATGATCCAGCCAGTTTTCTATCCACCTTACAGTCCATTCATCCAACCCATACTTCCTTAGCTTGCTTGCCAGAATGTTGTGGGAAACCTGTATCAAAAGCTTTGCTAAAGTCAAGGTATATCATGTCTGCTATCAGGGCTAGTCCAAGGGTAATTGACACCCTAGGCGAACTGTATACCTCCGCACCCCTACTACTTCCAATATAGAGGAAAATAAGTCTAGAAATGAACTTTAACATGTACTTATTTGATATTCAAAATGAACAATCAAACAATAAAATTTTATTTCATTGATTGTTTCACACCTTTTATTAACCCTAACATAGGTCCACTTGAGAGTTGAAAAGGTAGGAGTTGTGATTCTAGTGATCTTTCCTCAGATCTTTTCAGAGATCTGTCTCCTCTTATCAAACCAAAGGTCTTAGACCAAGGTGGAGCCAAAGCCGGCCAGGGCTGATGTTCCTGTTGTTTTGTTATGCATATCATTTTGGTGCCCTGGGCAACTGCCTTGTTCACCTAATGGTTGGACCAGCCCTGTCCACTGTTCTCCCTGAATCCTCGGAGCCAGTCATTTCATCCATAGAAGGCAGTCCGGTTGGTCAGGCATGAGTTACCGCTGGTGAATCCATGCTGACGATTCCTAATCACCTTCTTCTCCAAGTGCTTAGAAATGGATTCCCTGGGGACCTGCTCCATAATATTTCCAGGGACTAAGGTGAGGCTGACTAGTTTGTAGGATTCTGGATCCTCCTTCTTCCCTTTCTTAAAGATGGGCTCTATATTTGCCCTTTTTCAGTTGTCCAGGACCTCTCCCAGTCGCCGTATGTCTTCAAAGACGATGGCCAGCAGCTCTGCAATTATATTGGCCAACTCCTTTAGCACCCTCGGGTATATCCCATCCAGCCCCATAGACCTATACATGTCCAGCTTTTCCAAATAGTCCCTAATCTGTTCCTTTGCCACAGGTGGCTGTTAACCTCCTTCCCAAACTGTGCTGCCAGCTGCAGTAGTGTGGGAGCTGTCCTTGCCTGTGAACATATGTGAAAAAGGCATTGATTACTTCAGCCTTTTCTGTATCATCTCTAACTAGGTTACTTCTGCCTGCCCCATTTAGTGAGGGACCCACACTTCCCCTGATCCTCCCCTTGTTGCTGACATACTTGTAGAAGCCCTTCTTGATACCCTTCATGTCTTTTGCTAGCTGCAACTCCGGTTGTACTTCGGCCTTCCTGACTTCATCCCTGCATACCCAAGCAATACTCTTATACTCCTTCTTAGTTGTTTGTCCAAGTCTCCACTTCTTGTAAGCTTCCTTTTTGTGTTTTAGCTCACTGAAGAGTTTCCTGTTAAGCCAAGCTGGTCTTCTGCCATAGTTGTTAGTCTTCTTACACATCAGGATAATTTGTTCCTGCACTCTCAGTAAGGCTTCTTTGAAGTACAGCCAGCTGTTCTGGACTCCTTTCCCCCTTAGACTCGTCTCCCAGGGGATCCTGCCCATCAGTTCCCTGAGTGAGTCAGCATCTTCCTTTCTGAAGTCCAGGGTCCTTACTCTGCTGCTCTCCTTCCTTCCTTTCTTCACGATCCTGAACTCGATCATCTCATGGTCACTGCTGCCCAGGTTACCATCCACTACTACATTCTGCACCAATTCTTCCCTGTTTGTGAGCAGCAGGTCAAGAAGAGCACAGCTCCTAGTTGGCCTCTCCAACACTTGCACCAGGAAGTTGTCACCAACACTCTCCAGAAATTTCCTGGTTTGCCTGTGAACTGCTGTGTTGCCTTCCCAGCGGATGTCAGGGTGATTGAAGTCCCCCCATGAGAACCAGGGGCTGTGCTCAGGAAATTTCTGGTAGCTGTTTGAAGAAAGCCTCATCCACCACATTCTCCTGATCTGGTGGTCTATGGCAGACCCCCACCATGACATCACCCTTGTTGCTCTCTCCTCTGACCCTAACCAGAGACTTTCAAGAGGCCTGTCTCCAGTTTCATACTGGACCTCTGAGCAATCATACAGCTCTTTTACATAAAGAGCAAGTCCTCTTCCTCTTTTCCCCTCCCTGTCCTTCCTGAACAGTTTATACCCATTCATGACAGTGCTCCAGTCATGCAAACTATTTCACCAAGTTTGTTATTCCAGTTGCATCATAAAGAGATCCTTTGATATGAGGTGCCATGTAAGTGCACAGGATACAAAATAGATACACTTACATGGCACCTCGTATCAAATATTTACACTTAATATATATAATGTGAAGTTGTGAAGAGCTACATTACTAATATTCAGGGGAAACCATTAGACAGTTAGAATATGATATTAAATGCAAAGTTAGCTTTATGTTCCTTCCTTACTGATTGTTAAATTCATGTGGTTCTACATCTGGAAGGAGGAGACAGGAGAAAGGTGATAGGGGAAATGAGAAAAAGCTAAAATGCAAACACATGATTGTCTGCCACAAATCTGTCTATAAATAGGCTAATCATCCTTTTTTGGAGAAGACAATGGGAACATTTTACTGAGCAGGTCAGTTCCCCACAGTTCCCAGCAACCTTCTCTCCCTTTTTTGCCTTTCACCAAACTCTTTTACCAGGGTCAGCCTAGGTTGTGTATAAACACAGTTCCCATTTCCACCACTGTACACGCACATCTACAAACACAAGACAGGCAAACCAGGTAGGGTCCAAATACTGGATCCCAGTGGATCTCTGGGGTTTGGCTTTCTTTTTAACTTTAAAATAGCAGGGCATAAACATTGTCTTAACATCTTCCTGAGTGGAGTAATCTGCATGGCGTTCCTGTGCAGAATCTCTCCTTATCCTTAGAGGAATAGGAAGAATCAGAAGAATAGGGCTGGGTTGCTGTGCAGACCAGGGTGTCACAAGAAGTTTCTTCTTGCAGTTGCCACCAGTGATGGAATTCTACACATGATAACCCAGGAAAGGGAGACAAGAACCAGTATACCCCTCCACAACATGTAAAGCTGGAAAAGATGTATATCTGTTGTCCATATCTGTATGCAAACATACACATATATTAATTTGTAAGAGAAGCTATTTGTTTTATCTTGCTTTGTTATTGCAAGTTAATTATGTGACTATAATTTACAATTCAGTACAACACAAATTCTTGGAATTCTGCTTTGACTTTACTGATCCATATTTTCAGTTGCCCTGACCTGTCATCAGGAGACAAATTGAGGCTACTTCTTAAATTACGAAGGCTTAGCCATCCTGGCTTTTGGTGCGACTCCAGCAATGCTGTAATGGGGCCAGAATCCTTGAAAAACCCTTGTAAAACCTGCCTACGCTTTTAATTCTTGACCAAAGTCAAGGAGTAACACAGGCTACCGTGGTTTCTTGACCTAGTTCACAGTCTCCCCTGGAAAATGTTCATTTTGTATCAGGCAGCAGCAGCAGTAAAAAAATTCTTGTTGGTTGTCTTATTCCTCTAGATACAGCGCTCCCGGGCTGTTCTAGATGTATATCCTTCACCTCTCCCAGCCCTTCCCCCCACCACTTTGTCTAAAAGCCTGTCTCTCTCATCACAAAATGGTTTATTGGGAGAAATGTGCTTCCCCAGGCTAATTTTTCCCTTTTTACAACAATTCCTTGGTTTCACTGTATGGTCCAGCTTAACCATTTCATAAAAAACTTTTAATAAGGCCATTTGTATTCATAGTGAGATGATTCATGTCATAACACTGACATTAACATGACTTCATGGTAATAAGGTCAAAATACATGCATTAGAATAGTTACTTGTTGCATCTTTGTATAATTCTATGGGAGAGAGAGAAAAATCCTATGGGGAAAAGCTATTCAAAAGGGTATCACATTTCATAAAAGTTGGGGGTTGCATTAGATCATGAAGTGGGAGAGGCCAGGGCAAGCACTGCAAAAATCTTAAGACGTTTCAGTTGCACAGTTTTGTGTTAGCTGCCTGAACACACACTTGCCAATGCATATGTGCACTGAAGTCTTTCTATCCAGCTTGCCAGTGCCTTTAGGAGACTCTTGCTGACAATTGCAAGTGGAGCTGTGTAACATTGCTGTCTCATGCTTTGAGCTCTCATTTATTTTTTAAGCTTCTTTTCTCTATCTGGTGGACTGGTGTTATTAAATTCTCTCAATCTTTTACAGAAGAATATCAAACATGTTAGAGAAGAAACAGTTTCATGTACACAGCTGAAAGCATGTTTAGCAGAGGGGAGATGCACACCTTTTCAAATGTACCTGCATTCCATTCAGAAGTGACTCAAGGCCTATGCCTCCAATCCTATTAAATTTGCAGTAGGAAATTTTCTGAGGCAGTTTGGAAAATGTTACGCTTCCCCTTGACTGACCTGCACCATTGGACATTTTCTTTCTGCTTTAAATCCAAGACTGCAGACCTAAAGCCAATTAAACATGTCTTCAGTTTATCCCCATATACTATTGTTCCACCTTTTGTTTTTATCTTTTTGAAGGCTGGGATGCTGTGATGGACTGGAAAGATGTCTTATCAGGAGGAGAAAAGCAGAGGATGGGCATGGCTCGAATGTTTTATCATAAGTAAGGATCTGTATTTGCTCTTTGGGCAGCTACTCTAATGGAGAAAGAGCTTTGGAGGCTTGCCACAATAGTCTTGAGTAATAATATTACTTTATGTAATACCAGAAGGTAATTGTGTATGAAAACATACCGTGCTGCTTAATTATTTGAGCTCAGCTTCATAGTTTGGGTGATGCGTTTAACATAACCTATCCTTGCATTTTCCAGATGTCACTTTCATTACCACCTTTGACCCAAGTAATCATATCAGGGATGTCCAAGTGATATCATGGCCATTTGTTGCACTGTTGCACAGAATATGTAATACTGAGAGCCAGCTTTCAGACTTGCCCTGTTTGGCTACCAGGGAACACTGCAAAGGTGCTCAGCCCGAGGAAAGGTCAGAAAAACCTTGCATTGCTCTTGTATCCTGACAGTGCTGTACCCAAAATCTCTATCACAATGCATCCAGCAAGATCAGGAAGCAGAAGCCTTGAATTTTTTTAATTAACACTAATATTGCAATAGTGCTTAGAAGTCAGCTATAGAATCAGTGAGTCAGAAGGGACCTAAACAGATCATCTAGTCCAACCCCCTGCCATGGGCAGGAAGGAGCACTGGGGGTGGCAGGGGTCATAAGACCCCAGCCAGGTGCCTATCCAGTCTCCTCTTGAAGATCTCCAGGGAAGGTGAGAGCACCACCTCTCTGGGAAGCCTATTCCAGGCTCTGGCCACCCTTACAGTGAAGTAGTTCTTCCTAATATCTAACCTAAACCTGTCCTCCCTCAGCTTGTGGCCATTGTTCCTGGTGACTCCAAGAGGGGCCCTGGTGAACAGACTTTCCCCGAGTCCCTGCTGGTGGCCCCTGATAAGGTTGTAGGCAGCCACAAGATCCCCCCTCAGTCTCCTCTT